ATGTATAATTTTTTTAGCCGGCGACAATGTGTCAATGGACGACATTACTCGCAGTGAGGATAGGTGCATATTGTCGCAGACCACAATATGTGCAAAACGACAATATGTACAGTCATACCCTTCCCTTTCATTTTGGAAAAAATATAAAGAACTGAGCATTGTAATTAAAAAAATTAGAAGTAAAAAAGAGACAGCTGTGTATACATGTAACTGGAATTTTAAGATTTATCAGAAAATAAAACACTTAATTGATATTTGATTTATCTTGTTCAGATTATAAAGTAGTTTAAATTTTCGATTTTATCTCGAGTGCACATGAAATAGGAAAATATTTCTTTTTCAACACTTTATACACATCGGATCGGTTAAAATAATACTGAAGCAAAGCATTTCTTTTTGTTTGATATAGTAATTCGAATATGAAGAAAAAAGAATTTGAAAAAAAAAATGTTTCATAAAATGTATACAGGTATTATATATTTGGCTTCAACAGCGAGGAATTAAAAGAAAATGGGAGAACAGGCGAGCGAAATGCCTACAGTGCAACAAACATGAACGTGAAAAGTTAAATCTCGAGTATGATAATTTTTTTTTTTGATATTTCATCTAGCATTAAAGCATACTTTGTGTATAATCTCCACAATTTGCAAAACTCTCACAAAGATTGAAATTATTTGCCTATGAAATAGCATCCAAACACTAAAGAGGGCGAAAAGGATCATTTCTCATACTATAACACAATTTTGATGAGTTGGTCTTCTCTCCTTTTTTTTTGGAAGTTTATACTCAAAGTTTGCGTAAAAATATACATTTTTTTTTGTTTAGCAAAAACATAGAGCAAATACCAACTATTCCTTAAAAATACATGTACACTTGTTTGACACAGCATTCGCATCTTTCCGAGATATACTTGAAGTCCATTTAGTCAAGGGTCATATCACAAACATGATTTAAATGCCACCATTCATCAGGAGCTATGTAGCATAGAGGTTAGCGTGTTAGCCCCAAAGGAAAATGATACTCTTGCAGGATTTTTTTGCTAGGATTCGAACCCCAAGAATAACACACTATTTTTTAATACCGGAATATTTTTTGCCGAGAAAATTTTCCTGTGAAAAGTTTTGTTTATCATAATTTCATAAATTTCAAAAATGATAATTTTACTCTAAATACTAAATACAGGAATTGAATATGATTTTTATATATCTGAAGCTATATATAGACATTCTAAACGCCTTGGTCACCCATCTCTTTTGCAAAATTCGATTTGAAAAATACAAGAGTATATTGATAAGCTGTTTTAAATGACTGATTTTAAAAAGTCAAAATACAAAATAATTAAAGGTTCTCGTTTAATTTTTTGACGATAAGATAAAATAATTAATAAGGATTATACATGAACGTGCAAAATGTTGAATAATTTTTAGCATAATTAAGCCATTTTTTGTTGAATTTGAACTCATAAACATGTACATTTATATGGATTACAATGTTATTTAATTTTAAAGTCATGTTACTCTCTCAATAAATCAGACTGTATTTATATCATGGTCATGATCTAAATGCATTTTTAAAATTAAAATACACGGATACAATCTTAAAATTAATACGTTTTGTATAAAAAAGCATGTCTTTCAAATTCCCAGAATCAAGAAGCTTCCCGGTCCCCCAGTAAGGCTTTAAATTTTCTCTGTGCCCAGAGGTATTCAGATGTTATACTTTGTCAATTAGAGTTTTAAAACTGATAGTTAGTTCAAAGCCCTTAGCTTTGATTTCTCTTCAAACGCCCCCCCCCCCATTTTTTTTTCATAAATATCTGGAGATGTCAAGTACGAGAAATGTTGTAGGTGAGATGCTTTACACGTCCAAGACACATGTAATGTTATTGTATGTCCGAAGTTTTTTTTTCCCTAGAAGGTACTTTTTTCTTTAAATCAAATGCCGTATGTCTACAAACAATTCCTTTAACAATATCTAGCACACAAAGCAATTTTTCTAGAGTGACGCAATAAACTGCTTTGACAGATTTTTTTTAATTCAGAGATTAGCACTCTGTAAGGTTTCTATATGAAGATGCAAGTCTATCTTCTGTTCTTGAAGATTCCTGTTCTCTATTTGTCGTTGGGAAAAGGGTGGAATGAAACAATCTCTCGGGAAAGGAGGCAAAACCTCATTCTAGGAAAAGATGGGAAACCCCCTAACAACCCCCTCCTTCCAATATTAATACCACTTGCATGTATACACATGTACAGCATCTTGTACTTTAAATCACATGAGAGAACGAAATATGAGTATCGAGTTCAATTAATCAAGACTAAAAAGTACTTCAACATTATTCAAATTATTTTTGACATGTTCCCTTACAACAGAAGTCCGAAGTCAGCTGTCGAATGTCTGAGATTCCGATCGAAAATGCTCATTTGGGTTTTTTATTAAACCCACTTGGGTCCTAAAGGCGGTCCCAAATCCCTTGCCTCCTCCCTAATCAGTTGCCGCTCCTCTCAACATCGAATTCTGGATCTACCCCTTATATAATTAATGGACTAAGTTAACTTTTATAAATCTACACACACGTATAACTGGTATAACCGAGACGATGTCCGTACGTCTGTCTGTACGTCTGTCTGTAAACTTTTACATTTTCGACTTTGTCTCAAGATCCATTGGACCAATGTCAAACCCTCTCACCAGAAAGCATCCAGATAATGAATAATATGTGAAAATATGGTGAAATCTTTTGAAAATCTTTTTTAAACAATGGCTTGAAATCATGAAACTTTTGTGAAAGCCTTCTCACAATGTTAATCAAATTTTTGAACACATCATAACCCCTGGTAAAAGATATGCATAAAAATATTTAGAAAAAATGTTACGATCTTGTTCTCAAGAACAGCGAAGTCATATTAATATAAAAAATCTTCAGATAGCATACATTCTTGGGGGGGGGGGGGTAGAGATGGTACATGTAGGGGCCACGATAGCGAATCGGTTTTAAATGGAAATACATAGGATACACTTTTAGGAATAAAACTCTTAAGAACAAAAGGGCCTTGATAAGTCTATTTAATACATAAGCATCATCATATGGTGTATATTCAAGAATATTCAAGACCCCTGGGAAGGGACGGGAGTTTTACTTGGGAATGAACAAGAACAGCTTGTTAGGGATTAGGGATGTCAATATGCAAGCATCCGCAAGTTGTGCGGTTTCATTTTTGTTCAGGTTATGGCCCACGTTGATAGAGTAAGGCAAGGGATAAAGGGGAATATATACTGACAGAAAGGAAATTTCAATATCTTCCTCTTGAGAAAACGGGTCCTTGATAAGTGTTCGTAAGGTGCAGTCATTCTTAGGTAAATGCAGATCCTAGTTTGCACAATTCATGGCTTCCAAATGAGGGATCATATTTCGGCGTATTTAGACTTTTTTCATAAAATGTAACATTGATAAATCGGAAAAGCCATAGGTAAAACATTTACTACATTATCCATTGTAAAGCCGTCATTAAGTCTTAGGCTAAAAGAAGCACTCCACTATGAGGTCATCAGGTGACGTCTATAAATAGAAAAATTCACATGAAACCTTACCAAAATTATTACATTTTGTACAAACGATCAAGGAATTTTCATCAATTCATGTTAATCACACGATTCTAGCAGCACTTTCCAAGTACTATAGAATACAAGCTTTCGATACAAACAAAAATTATGTCTCAAAATATGCGGCGTAGTGGTGAACTTCTGTAACTTTGTTGTTATAGAACGACAGAAGAAAGGCTGATCGGGATTTCAAAGCACTGCCTGTGTTCATTATAAGAAAACATGATTAGAATATGTCAGTGTACTTGATTCTTAATCTTTAATTTCTTATGAATCGCACATAACTTTCACGGTATATGCTTTAAAACTCACATTTTATATATTTGTTTACATGAATTCTCGTCACGTTTAATTTTCACTCGGCAAATATTTGATCAATAGTTTTAACCCCCGTGATAAATACTTAGCTATTTGTACCACCCAAAAACGATAAGATTTTGTTTATATTATGTTTTGAATGATTCCATTCATTTCTTGGACCTGCAATTAAACTATATATAGATATTAAGAAATCATTAATCTAAACTTCACGTCATACAGCTTACTAATGACGTCATATTGTAGAGGCAAGTAGGATATCTCTGGGTCAGCCTTAACATACCCGCGTTAATGCGCGATTTTAACATACATCTGATACATTTAATCCATTCTGACAAAGTGTCAAGGTCTTCTTTTTCATGTCTGGCCCATCGCCTGGCGTAGTCCTCTACAGAATCCATAATATTTATGAAATTTCGACGCCAGTTGAAGTATCGGGGTTCCCTATATTTAGGACCTTTTAAAATTAGTGATCTAAGGTCCTCATTATTAACTATATTTACGTCACCAGTAATAACGTGTCCAGCAGGAATATAGTTATAGGGTGAAGAAGAAAATGAGCACGATTGAGGATTATGTTTCAGATATTCGATATCCAGGCCCTGTAAAGATTTCTTGTAATTAAAAAGTTTGGAAGCAATAGTCGATGTATATTTGTAGGAAATACAAGGTGTAGTCTTTAACTTGAAATATGGTGGAATACAAGACTGGACCCTTTTGTGATTAAGAATATTACTTAATATATTAACCGCGTCAATTCTTTTGTTGGTATATTGAAGTTTAAAGACAGGCCCCAGAGGTTACGTGTTTTAGTCCTGTAAAATGTGTATTTAAAACACGATCACAACGGTATAAGTGTTTCCCAATAATTTCAATGAATAGCAGAGATAACGCTAAAATAGGTTTCTGCACACCTGTACACTTTCGCTAAAAATAACAAAATACCGGAAATTGCGTCACACGTGTGTCTCAGTGATTGCTGTTTTCGTTGAAAACGTGGGAATGTCGAAGAAAAAAATCGGGAAAATTTTGTGTTGCGGCCGGTTTCACTTCCACACACCGGAATAATGTATCTCTTCATGAATTTCCTTATGAAACTCGCCCGGAAATTCGGAAAAAGTGGATTTCATTTGTAAAAATGAAGAAGAAGGATTTTACGACCCCAAACCAGTTCTCAGTGTTGTGTGAAAAACACTTTGCTCCAAACTGCTATCCTCTGGAATATTCTATTAAAAAGTCAATGGGAATAGAGGTGAAGAAAAAAAATCTTCTACCAGAGGCTATTCCAACTGTTCAAACAGTTGATAGTGACAAGAGAGCAGAGGCCAGTTCACTTTCTCGCCATGGATCTCCAGAGCGTCATTCGCAACCTAAGAAGATGAGACCGGCATTTAGAAAAAGGGAATGCTTGAGGGTAAGTCGTTTAAAAAATGATTGACTTTACACGTTTTTAAATATTTTACAGCTTTAGTAAACATTACATCTATGTGGCATTGGTCATTTAATGATTACCCCCCCCCCCCCTCTTTCTAACGTTTTAACAATGTTGTTAATAAATTTAAACGTATGAAAAACAGTAATAATTGCTTTAATTAATTATTTGATAAATGTTATTAAAAGGTTATTCAAACGGCCATATCTGCAACGGAAGTTTCTGATGCTGAAATGGAAAGTGAAGTGGAAGATGGAGGTTCTATTCAATTATCCAATACAGAGGTAGCTAGGTCTTTCCACGTGTTTCCTTTTAATACATGTACAATTAAAAGTTGTTAACAATATATTAGAACAAGAGATATACTGAATTATCTATGTATACAGAGCACAACCCGAAGTGTTGGATTACAGTTTGGAGGAAAGTCAGTGCACAAAAGATCTAAAAGATGTCAGACAAAACTGAAGACAATGGATAAAGGTTAAAATAATCTACATTTTTAAAGTTATGCTTAAGAAATGAACATATGCCATAAATGCTGTTATTATAACAATTTCCACACTGAGAGAATGTTGTTTTATATTTTAGCAATTCAAGCGAATGTTCAAAAACGTCAACACACTACCAGTATAGGCATCCAGTGCAACAGAAATTTAGAGGACCTAGAAGACCTTAAAAAAGTGAGAAAAAGAAATGAATGGGAAAGAATGAGATCTCGGGAGTGTTCTGAAACCACCCCACATGCAGCAAATTTTACTAGCAAGTGTTTAGGCCCTGACTATGAACCTATAGCTCATCGGATGATTCACAGTCAGACATTTCCTCGACAACGGAAAGGTAAAAACTTTAAGATTAAGCTTGTAATAGTGCTGTTTATGCATGTTAAGCTTGTAATAGTGCTGTTTATGCATGACTGCATAATTTTGATTTTTTTTTTATTTCAGTGAAGCTGAAAAAGCTGTTTGGAAGGAAAGAAAATTCATAGTATTTGAGTCACATCTGCTAGAGTTGTTTAAATCTTGTCCATCGTGTGCATCTTTATGCCTATTTCAAATAAAGAAGATCATAGGTTCATTAGTAAAGGTAGATCAAACCTGTGGTACATGTGGCTATGAGCGTACCTGGGACAGCCAGCCTATTACTGGGTCTGTTACTTCAGGAAACCTTCTCTTATCTGCAGCAATTCTATTTACAGGTAAATTAATTTTTTTATCATATTTTCCCCAATACTTCACATAAGAAAATCTTACTAGTTTCAGTTATGGCAATTAAAATTTCTCTTGCAAAAGAATTTATAAAGTTATTAAATAGTCAAAATTCATCAATATTTTATGTCTTCTTTTCTAAACAGGGTTACTTACTTCAAAAGCTCTGAGGTTCATGGAACACATAAATATTCAAACCATTACACCAAATACATTTTTTCAACATCAGAAGCATTATCTGCACCCATCTATCTGCTCTGTTTGGAAAACATTTCAAGATAATTATTTTCAAAAGATGATTGAGAGTGGAAAAGACTTGACGATTGGCGGAGACGGTCGAGCAGACACACCAGGACATTCGGCAAAATTTGGAAGTTATGCCATTCTAAATTTAGAACTGTCACCTGTGATAAATGTACAATTAGTACAGGTAAATTAATTGCTCTACAATTTACTTATTAGGTACATGTATATAAAAAAGAGTAGAGAGAAAACCATACATTGTATTACTTTATATTTATTCTCACTTCAGAGCAATGAGGTTAAAAGCAGTTACCACATGGAGAAAGAAGGCTTTATTAGAAGCATCAATTTCATAAAAGAAAAAGGATTAAAAATTGCAGAAATTGTGACAGACAGACATGTACAGATCGTAAAGCATGTGCGAGAGGAAATGCCTGAGACTATACACCACTTTGATGTTTGGCATGTTGCTAAAGGTACATGATACATAAATATGAATCCAGTTTTGGTCAAATCGGGAACAGTTCTTTTAAATTTTATGGATGTTTTATTTTTATTCTAGGTTTGAAAAAAAAAGTTAACTGCCCTGTCTAAAGAGAAAGAATGTGAAAGGCTACAGCCTGTGGATTCGCAGTATTTGTAATCATCTTTACTGGACCGCAGCATCCACTCCAGATGGAAATGGGCAAATGATGCTTGAAAAATGGCAGTCTGTTGCAAATCATGTTCAAAATATACATGAACACAACGGAGATTTATATGACAGTTGTCTACATGGCCCATTAGAGGGTATATCTAGAAAGACACAAGAAGTGGCTTGAGCCTGGTAGGCTAAATTAATTTTATGAATATATTAATTAAAATGAAAAACATTTTAAAGCATAAATCATATTTTCCTATCAGGGGATGCTATCAAGGTATAAATTAATTCATTTAGGGAAAAAAAATTAAATACATTCATTTCAATTTTTAAATTACACACTCAATTATGATATTTTATTACAGAATTCTTTTGGCTGCGCTCCATTACAATAAAAATGGCACGAGAGAACATGCCTCAACAAAAGAAGGAAACGACATAATTTTTCCCAAATACAAGAAGGGAGAATACACAGTTCGAGAAGTGAAAGTGGAATGTACTTATGGTATGTATTGTTCTTCCTATTTTTCAAAACAGTTTTTTTTCAATTATGAATTACAAGCGTTAATCAGAAAAAAAATATTTTAAAAAATCTTTTATTTGTTCACAGAATATATTGAACGTCTTATAAATTCGGCAGTTTCCCTAGCAGAGGAATATGCCATGAATTCAACGCAGTACAGTTAAGGTGCCATATGGAAATATCGGCGAATTTTTTTACATAGAAAATACATTCTTTACAAGGATGGGCGATTCTTTTTAGGACATTCCTATTACCGGACAAATGCAATGTGGTTGAAAACTACATGTTGAAGACGATTAAATTTCATATTTAGACTGTCACGTGATGTTGCATTCACGTGATTTTAGCAAATATACCTGAAGTATTGAGGTCATCTATAAATTCCAATATTGCAAGGGCATAACTAAGTTAAAAATCTAAGTTTAATATACAATTCTTTTCAACACTCTTTAGTTTGTGAAAAGTGCTGCGAACCTATATAGATTCTACTATCTAATTGCTAAAATTACATTTATTAGACCGTATGTTGAATATTTTGCTGGTCAAGTACATTAAAGATAGATATAATAAATTCAGTTGCAAGATTTCAACAGGTTCGCAGCACTTTTTAAATATCTTCATACTTCTTGAGTTTATGTGTAAAAGCTTGTCATAATTCATTGAGGGTATGCCCTTGCAATATATCGATTTATTACGACCCTTCTATTACTCGTCAGTGAATCTGCATACAAATATACTGCAGCATCGCTTATCTAGGTAATGTACGTGAAGTATATGAACAAAATCGTAAAGTAGACATCACATCCAAGTTAATGGCTTCTTATATATCTGCAAATAATATTTTATTTAATTACAAAATACATTTTTCATTGTATAAAATATAACTTGATCCGCCTCTCACTGCATACAAACTGCGTCAATTTTTACGATATGACGTCACATTGACAAGTGCATTGCGATCAGTGAATTGTTTATATATTGCTGTGTGGGATTTGAACAACGACAAAAATGCATGCACTAGTTAGTATTGATGTAGTTTAAAAGCTATCCAAGAATTTAAAAGTGCAAATCATTTCATTCTGTGGAAATTTTATTTTTGTGTGATGTCATAGTAAGCATTTCCCGTATAAATTAGGCCCCGCCTACTTCTTACAGCCTTAACTGTGCTGCGAAGTACGGTGCTTGATGATCAGCCAGTCCCCCTCCACTTTGTAGTTCATTTGAAAGACCAGAGAAGACACGAGCCATACAGGAAAAAATGTCGAGATATACTAACAGAGCACATGAAAATGATGAATGCGAGTCTTCTGAATGTAGTTAAAATGTTGGCTGTAAATAATGTTAACTGACTTTATTTTTCAAGAATGGTGAATCCAAATATTTGTAATATTTGCCTGAGTTTTGAATATATTTTAATTAGCCAGTTTAAATCCTGTGTAATGCCCGGATTCACTTGGAAACGTGTTCCGTATAAGATTCACTGCACATGATGGTAGTGGAACCCTTATTTTCCTTCCAAGATATCCCCAAGCCCATCCAGCCAGTTGGCGATATGCTGTGTATCTGTACTTCCTAAAATAAATGTCCAATGTAGTGATGTATATAACAAAAAAATACAACAATAAAAAATGTGCAATACACTAAACTAAATAATAAACATACTCAGAAGAGTCTTCAATGTCTTCCCTGTACTGTTGTTTGTACTGATAGTATGCTATCTGTAGAAAATATGTATTTAAACATGCTGGTTGAAAACCAGGATGGCCCGTTATACAATGGACCTCTGAATTTAAGTCTGCAAATGGGTAGTGTATTTTCTCTACTTCGTGACAACATAGTGATTTCGTTGCGGTTGGCATTGGTATGCAATTCCCACAAGTGCACCTAATTATAAAACAATTTAAAGAGTAGGTTAATTTATAATTTTGTGTCTGCGGAGTATATTACAGTAAATAATTAATTTCAATAACAGATTTTTTATATATGTTTTTTTTAATAAATCAAGGTTAATGTTAAAAAAATTACCAATCAGTGTTTTGTAAGCGGCTGTTTATATTTTCTTGATCATCCGAGTCAGCAGAGTCTGATTCATTTGACCCACTTTCGTATGGCTCAAATCGGAATGGAGCGATGATGTCATAGACTTCGCCAGTAAACTTTCGTCAAAACTAGATGATCCACAGGACAAATCTAGCGTTTGCTCATCTTCAGAACTTTCCAACGGAGATTCATTTTCAGGGTTGACAGATACTTCAGCCGTTTCTTTAGAGCACATGGGATTCCGCAAGACCCACGTGTGACGTCACAGATATTGTAAACATTTAAACCGGAAGAAGCACTTGGCTGAATTATCGATCGCTTGGGCAGGTGTGAATGAGCATGTTTAGCTATAAATATCTCGGGATCTACGGCATCATTTTACACCGGGTTTTCGATTTCATGATTCAAGCATTAAATTCTTTGTTATCATTGCTTGTAAAATATCTCTGTGGCCTATCTTTAAGGAAAAAAAACGGATTGTTTTAGCTGCATTTTCTTCAGTAAAACGTGGGGGTTTAAAAAGCCTATGATTTGCAATATCCATAAGCACAGATCAGAGCCTATATATTCAGGTGTCGAGGAATCAAGAAATGGACTTTCCTTGACCTTTTCAAGAAGACTATTTAAAAGTTTCAAAGGGACAGAGTAAAGTTTGGTGCGAATATGATGTACACCTAACTGTTGATTTACGTAAGGTAGTTATGAATCAAAAGAGACATCGTGTATTAATCTTTTATTCTAAGACCGATGCCCATGACTACGCTAACGTCTCTGTGTATGGTTAAAAAGTCCCATTACATTTACATTGTTACACTGTGGACTGGAATGATTTCCAACACTATGAATATTGTCATTACATCCATTGGGAAAGACTGTCCCTAGCTTTCTAATCCAAAACTCTTCTCGTTGTCTACGGAAGAGGTGTACTCAGTGATGGACTGTTTGTGTGGTGGTAAATCTTTTCTAGAATTCTAACTTTCATTGACAAAATAGAATGATCAACTAAATTAAAATGCTTGTATAAAAGTTGTTGACCCCCATTATTTATCTGAAATCTATGACCTGATATTCGTTTATTGAGTGATCTCTTGGTTTCACCAACATAAAAAAGTCCACAAAGATTACATTCTATTCCGTAGACAACATTAGAAGATTTGCAGTTCAGATTTTCCCAAGTTTTGGTACAGTAGCTCTGTCCAGTAAGATTACTGGTAAAAGAAGTGTTAGTTATCAAAATGTCACAGGTTTTACAGTTTTTCGCAGAACATTTTGAAATGGTAGACATGGGATCGGAAAAGGAATCATCGAATATATCTCTAATAGAAACCTTACATTCTTTCAATTTTTTGTATGAACTATTGGTTTTATACCAAAACTGGGAATCTGAAGACTGTACATATGACATATGTTTAATATCCCTGAGGTTTATTCGAGGGGCACCGAATGAACTCCTTGAGTCTGTGTCCCTTATAGACTCCAAAGAGTGACGCCTTTTTATACTGGGCGACGCGTCTGCCGGTATCATTTCATTATTTTGTGTACTCATGAATGAATAGGTACCGAACGACAGGTATCCTCGGGGACAGACTGTCCACCAGCAGAGATACATGTTCGGTGGTTAAAATGAAATATATGGAGATAACGAACAGTATTCAAGCTCAGAAGTCCATTAAACAATACAAAATAGGAGCAGAGCAAACAGGATCTCCAAACATCAGAGGTGGGGTCAGGAGCCATGGAACATTTAAAATAGTGGCACAACTGTGTGAAAATTTGCGGGAAAAACACAAAATTAATTGCCAAAATAATGAGGAAGGGACCTATCACATCAGTTTGGAAATTCGTTTTATAGAAAGATGTCATACATATCCATTTGTATTACTTTTAAAGGTAGAAAATATCTGAACTCTTATATCAAATATATGTATTTAAAACGTATGATAGAAGAATGATTCACGCTTGAATTCTTGTCATATATCGTATGTAATATTTTCTATGCATTTGTTTAGCAGTTATTTTTTTTATCAAATGTATTTCATTTATTGTTGTTCAAAGTTAGATTGGAACACTGATGACGACACATTTATGACTGGTCTTCAGTGGGCATTGTCAGACGAGTTACTTCCCCTCCTGGAGCCTCGGAGATATTGCCTTGCAGATTATGATGATCTAAAATGCAAAAATTGATATACATAGAGCAATACGTTTAAAATTCTACACGATTGTTAATGGAAAATATACTAATCCTAAATTTATCTTAAAAATGCGTTTTAACATCAAATTGGTGAAAGATGGATGTATAGGATATCTGACAAATAAATCAAAGAATTGTTTTTGACGCTACATAAATCTTACAATGATTACTCGGTAACATTGATGAACACCACATCAATAATATGAAAAAATAAATTGCAATTAATGGCTTGCATCCCTCCCAATCTTTTTGGTGTAAAATGAGAGTGGAAATACAACCTTTACATGAAATAACCTGCTGAGTTCGGTCATTCCGAGTCGTCAAAATTCTTTTCCTTTTTTTGGCATGTCATTTTTATCCAGCCTTCACCTTTCAAAAGGGATGCTATTTGTGACTTATTAAATTGTATTGGAACTGATACCAACAGCATTTAGATTTACTGTATATACCAGCCAAGAAAAAAAAATATTAAATTTACTTCACGACTCTCTCTGTCTCTCTCTCTCTCTCATACTCCATGTCATGGTGGAGTTGGACAAAAATATTTATAATAACTTATATCATTACTTTTCATTTAAATCCAATTTAATAAAAATTATTGGTATCAATACCAGTGAGTAGAGCGCTCGCTCCATGATCGGAGAGTCATGTATTCGAATCACGGCTGCGACTGACCTTAGTCGATACAAAATATGTAACAAGTGTTCCTTTGCCAGGAATTCGGCACTCTGAAGTGAAAGTTGCAGGTCCTATGAAGCCCTTCCCCGGTATATGGTAACGTCTCTATGTCAGTGAAAAATTCTCGAACAAAAATCAATCAATCAATACCAGTGATGTGAAAGTAAGTTTGTGAGTAAAAATCTGATCTTCCACTGCATTATCAGTTGAAGATTCATTGAGAACAAAATCATTCTGGATTTTATGAAAATTATATATTTTTTTCTTTCTTTGTAACTCTTAATAGAATGCGATAGGTACTATGCACTGAAAGGGAAAACATATTGACTAAAACTCCAAACTTATTGTCATGTCTTTTTTAAATATTTATAATGGATTCTAAAATTGTCAAGGCTTAAAAGATAAACATGCAGATGGTTTCGTTTATCATTGGTTCCGAGTAGATAATATTTTTTCTTGTAGGACCCTTTCATTGATAGGTATTATTGCTGATTTATATGAATTTCAAGCACTTAATTTAAAGGTCATAATTCTGATATTTCATTAATTTCTCATTATATCGCAGTGTAGATAGAAAAATTTTCAGTTTTAACAATTGCTAGAAACCACCAATCTATTCAATTTTTGATTTTCTAAGAGATGCTATAAACTGTGGCATGATAATTTACAGTTATAGAATTTTATGTACATTTGTTGTTATCATAGATTCTCAGTCGTGTGATAGACTTGTAGCCTTTTTAAAGTTAAGTTAAAGGAAGTTTGAACATGAATACCTATCAATAAGAGTCTGTAGAGCGCTCGCTCCGTGATCGGGGAGTCGTGAGTTCGAATCTCGGCCGCGACTGACCTAAGTCAATAAAAAATGGGTAGCAACTGTTCCTTCGCCATGCGCTCGGCACTTTGAAGTCAAAGTTGCGGGACCTTCGGATGAGACCTTAAAAACCGAGGTCTCGTGTCACGGCAGGCGTTGGCACGGTAAAGATCCCTCACTGCTCAATGGCCCTGAGTGCCGAATAAAGGTAAAAAATTTGAAGCCCTTCAACGATAGATTGTGACGTCTCTATATGAGTGAAAAATTCTCGAATGGGACGTTAAACAACATACAATCAATCAACCTACCAATAAGAGGTGCGCCACAGGGCTAATGTTTGTCAACTTTTTGAAGATTTTGACCTATATAATCATATACTAAATCGATGGACATTTTTTAATTAAATATAACAATATGATAAATTAATAAAAAAAAAAGCACCAATTGTTTCGATCAAATGTTAAACGCAAAAGGAAAAGCACTTTTCCAAGATTGGTTCTTCCTTTGGTTAATATTCACGTCTTTATTTGGGGCAAACAAACTATCTTCTTGCTTTTCCACCTTGTCTACTAGGTTCTGTAACTCCTTAGCAGAAAAAAATCTTTTTTTTTTCCCTTCTTCATTTCAGCTATAGTATCTTCTGTTAATTTTTTTTACTTCAAGCGAGTTAACGTATTCCGTAAGTTGTTGATATTTACAACATTTCTAAGTACCAGTGCATTTCGTGAAACGATCTTAACGAATTATGTAGGTACTGCTTAACAACGTCGTAACTTGCTAAATAATACCTAATTTACGAAGCTTTATGAAATGACACCCTGATTGCAAATTAATATCTTTACCTCTATATTCACAAAATTAAACATTTTAAGGTGCATAAATGAACTGTAAATTCTGTCAATTAGAGTAATGATATAATGTGAAAAAATAAAAAAATTACCTAATAATGATTTTGCCGATAATTCGGATGATTCATTTGAAGATGAAGACGATCTTTCTGAACCAAGAATTCGTCGTTGACAAACTGTGTGATGTTTGTCATATTCTGAAAATTTTTTTGAAGGTTGATTTAACGTTGAAGCCGAAGAATTAGTATCTACAAAAATATTTTGCTATTAGTAAGATATCACGCAATTACAATCCTGGTATAACTGTGAAATTTTACAGGAAGTTTTATTTTTTTAATGATCAAATACAGTGGAATATGAAAATGGTTTTCACTATGCATAATACAGCATAAAATATAGAAAATAATATATACGCGGGTACGTTAAGGCAGTACACAGATCATATTTCGGCGATTTTAGACTTTTTTCGTAAAATGTAACATTGATAAATCGGAAAAGCCATAGATAAAACATTTACTATTATCATCCATTGTATAGACGTCATTGAGT